CCACGCGCACGCTTATACACACTAACACGCACACTCATGCAAGAGTTTGTTGGTTTGTAATGGAAATATCCGGCTATGAGTATAAGATTCTGAGTAATAGGAAAATAAACAATGAATATCCTATTCATTCACTTAAATCCTTTTGTTTAAAATACATTCTTAAAGTATCTCGATTTATTTATGGACCTTTTTCATTGATTTTTGGCTGATTTGCATGTAGCATCAATAAAGTGTGTGTATATGAGTTTGACTATATTCTTGTGAGCTTGAGTGCGTAAATGTATAGAAAACATTGTTCTTGGAGATAGAAATACATTTTGTCTATTTTGAAGTCAGTCTTTTTAGTCATAATTTTATATTAATATTTACTAAACTTAGAGTAGTTTGACAAGCTCACAACAGACTTGATACCAAAAATATTGTTTTAAAAAAAGGACATTGAAAATTTTGTGATTTTAAATTAAATAAAAAAAACATAAAGAAATATACAAAAAATATTTTTATGGGGTGCATACATAGATGTCTCTCTTTCAATCACATTCTCTCTCTCTCTCTCTCTCTCTCTCTCTATATATATATATATATATATATATATAATTTATTCGAAAAAATAACAAATATGTTACATTCAACACCATCACTTGATAAGACACCAGAAGTGTTGAAACAAAATGGCTGTTTTTGTAGTTATTTTATAACATATTTATGCTATAATTTTCGAATAAATTATATTTTCTCTTCTCTGTATTGAGCACTCTTTTAAGAATAGTATTTTTTGGTTATTGGAATTTATTCCGTATACACCAATCCTATACATATATATATATATATATATATATATATATATATATATGTGTGTGTGTGTGTGTGTGTGTGGGCGTGTGCGCGCGCTTGTGTGGTGTATATAAAACAAAGGTTGTGTTTCTCAAAAATTAAAAAAGTAAAAGGTTGATCAGAATATTTTTAAAAGTTAACGGTTTTAAGGCAAGTAGTCTTGCTAACTAAAGTGCTCAATATCAAGAGATATCATATTAATAATAACAAATACAACTAAATGTCCCATACTCAGATTTTCGCGGATATTGACCATGAATGGATATCATATCTGCGAATCCCCATCTTTATATATATGTATGTATACACGCTCGATCTCTGTACAGCATCTTTTAAACAATATTTGCCTATGTGTATGTATGTATGTGTGTCTGTAATAATGAACAGTGTGATTTTTCTGTGTTGTTTTTTGTTTCTCTCACGTCAAAATGAATAAATAAATTTAACAAGTTAATCCTGTCCTGATTCGAACACATGACTTAGTGTTCGACGGCAAAGTTACATGTGCACTACGCTAGCAGTCGGCTGCTTGAACAGCCTGGTGACATTTACTTTCAAATACTAAGCAAGGCAGAACATACCGATACTACACGACCGGAACGGAAGCAACACTTTCATCCTATACTGAGTGCACAGACACTCTGGTTTTAGGTAGAAGTGCTGATTCATATGTAATTAAACGCATACTTTTTACCTAGTACGAAATGCCCGTTTGTGAAGCAAGCAACCGCATTACACACACATACATGCACACGCGCGTGGGACACACACACACACACACACACACACACACACACACACACACACACACACACACACACACACACACACACATATATATATATATATATATATATACAGGTTTCATTAAAGACGACTGAAAAAGCCACTGCGTTTAAGCTTTTTATTAAATTGTTCTTGCACTCATACAAACGACTTCTTTTCTGGGCACAGTGAGTGTAAAAGTTTTCCAAGTGAATTTTGGATTCGAGCGCTTTCGACTGAATCTATTACCCATTATCAGGAATGTTTTTTGTTTAATTGAATATGTAGTTTTTTATGTATATATATATATATATATATATATATATATATAATGATGGGAAAGTTTTTACATTTACGAACATAGTCAGAAAGTTATTTCCGTGTTCATAATTGATATTATTGAGTGTTGTCTTCTTGTTTTTCATTATTGAGCTTTCCATTATTTCAACTATTTTTTTCTCTTTTGCGTATGGATGGGGCTATTATGGTCATATTTTCTGCAAGTATCTTGCGGACAGAGGTTGGCTAGACTTCGTGTGTGTTTAATTGGGTCCTAAGGAAGTTACTACCCGAGAGGAGTAAAGTAAGGCATGAAGTTGTATGTCCGATGTAATTATTATTCATTAATGTATTTTAGCCAGGAACATAGACCCATAAGAGGCATGCAAAAAAAAAAAAATAAATAAATAAATAAATAAAAATGAAAAATAAAAAAATCTACATATTCAGTTATACAAATAAAAAAATTAATAAAAAATCCTTAATCGCAGTGCGTTGTCAGTCGTCTTCAATGAAATTTGTATAAAAGAGGGATTGCTGCTCAAATACACAATATATATATATATATATATATATATATATATATATATATATATATATATATATATATATATATATTGAATGAATAAGTGTATGACAAAGTGTAAGTAAGTTATCGTGTGACGCGTTTCGTACTTTAGAGCTTCATCGGACTAAAGGACGAAACGTCACACGTCACATGTTTCATTAAAGACGTTTGACAAGATACCGCCATTAAGCTTTTTATTCAATTTTTCTTGTGTTCATATAAGTTCTTTCTTTTCAAGCGTGTAAAAACTGTCCGAATATTCTATACATACGTCCGCTTTCGGCTGTTCTCTTAGACATTATCAGGGATTTTTTAATTTTAATTTTAACTGATCAATTATTAACCTATCGCTATATAGAAATCTATAGATTCAATTAAAAATAGAAATAAACACTCTTCATAATTGCTCATAGAATAGCCGAAGGCGCTCGGATATTTAGAACATTCAGACAGTTTTTATATATATTATGTCCAGAAAAGAAAACACTTGTACGAATACAAGAAAAAAAATCAATAAAAAGATTAATCACATTACCTTGTCAGTAGTTTTTAATGAAACTTGTATAAAAGTGGGATTGTTGCTGCAGCAATACACAATTATATATATATATATATATATATATATATATATATATATATATATATATATAAATTATTTAAAAAAATATTCCTTCGTTACATAAGAGTTCTCATGTTTCAAAACCAAGAGCCAAAAAAATTCAATATAATTATTAAAATTAAATTGAATTAAAGTATCAAGCTCTGTTTCATTCTCAAGCGAAATTTTTGAATAACTAATCTTGATGTTTACGCATCTTTATAAGCAGATTCATTTGTAAAATTAATTACATTGAAACGGCTGAAACAATTATTTCAATAAAAGGCGTAAGGGTTAACAATTTGTATCAACATTTTACTTTATATATATATATATATATATATATATATATATATATATATATGAATGAATGAAAAAGAGAAAAGATGAAAAACTATACTTAACCGACGCAATTCGTACTTTGAGGGACGTTATCAAGGCAATGATAAAGTCGCTCAGAAGTCGCTCATGTCTCTTTTTATTTTATTTTATTTTATTCATTTTTGTCCCCTTTACATATACAGTCTGTCTGAGAATATTTACACACACACTCACGAACACACACACACATATATATATATATGTATATATCTGTGGTAGAGTGATCATGCTGTGCCATCTGTATGCATATCTCTTCATCGTATATCATCATAAATTTATCTGTATTCAGAGAAACATATACATGCACTGATGAAGCCTCTCAGCATGTGTAATGCTTTCTGTCTATCTTTTTCAAACCTTTTATACAAAAACGCTCATACTCACATATGGATACACAAGTATAAAACACTTCCGTGCTTAAAAGATGTAAAAAAATATTGTGTGCTTACGTGTGTAATCACACACGCACACACACACACACACACACACATATATATATATATATGTCACTGTGTAGTAGAATCTTTGTGTTTGACAACCTGTGGATTTATATGCTTGCATATGTGTATTTGTGTGTGTTGCGATTCGATTTTTGCTTGGACCTAGTGCAGTATTTATCGGAAGAGCCTCGTAAGATATAAATAGTGCATCCGTTCCTTACCGGGTGCCCCATGAATGTGGCCACGAGCCAAGGTTTTCCTAGTCCTACCGGTATCTGTAACCATCTGTCAGCCCGAGACACGAAGATTTCTTTGTGCGTATGGATTCGTCTGTGTATTATTGTAGACCCTCGTTTGTGTGTTCGCGTGTATACAACGATTATATATATATATATATATATATATATATATATATATATATATATATATATATATGGGGTGTTTGTGTTTTTGGTGCAAGTGTATTTGTTTGTGCAAGTTTAGTGTGCATATTGATCTATGTCCACGCATGCGTGTAAATGTGTGTGCCTGCCTCGCATTTGAATTAGCGTTTCTCTTCCTTTCTCTTGTTGTATATTCATATACGTATTCCTGTAAGAATAAGCGCGTTTCCCTTTCTCCTTTTCTGTTGTAACCATGAGTTTTGGCCCCTTTTTCTTTCTATGTTCGTGTGTATGAATCCTACTCTTCTGCGGACTTGCGAATGTCTCTCAGGGTGTCTATATGCGTGAGGATGCAAGCAGTTAGTAACGGGGCGGCGAGGCTGTCTTTGCTCTGACTAACATCTTCTGACAGGAACACAACTAACGCAACACGCAATCGTGAAGTCATTCGGTGCATTCGGATTACTTCCCCTTACCTTATCCTTCCACAATCTTCCCGTATTTCCTCACTTCAATTCACTTTTCACCTTTTCCTCTCTTCACTTACCAATTGATCATATCTATCGCCTATCACCTCTCTTTTTCCCACTCCCCATTTATACTTACCTCCCTCCTCACGATTTTCCTTCTCACTTATTAACTATCACCACTCACATTTAACTATCATCACTCTCTCTGATTCTCCGTTATTATTGCTTGTACTTTTAAAAAAGTACGTCACTTTACCGTCCTCTCCCTCGTTTTCATCGGGCTTACGGCCATGTCATATTAATAAACAGGTTCTCATACGATCACCGAAGTTAAGCAACGTCGTGCTTGATCAGTACCTAGATGGGTGACCGCTTGGGAAAACCAGGTGCTGTAAG